GAGGGATTCTGGGAGTTGAAGTCCACCAGTCATAAAAGGGTCATAGTTCCCTCACGCTGGCGGAGGGATTCTGGGAGTTGAAGTCCTCAAGTCATAAAAGGGTCATAGTTCCCTCATGCTGGCAGAGGGATTCTGGGAGTTGAAGTCCACCAGTCATAAAAGGGTCATAGTTCCCTCACGCTGGCGGAGGGATTCTGGGCATTGAATTTCACAAGTCATAAAAGGGTCATAGTTCCCTCGCTAGCTGAGGGATTCTGGGAGTTGAAGTCCTCAAGTCATAAAAGGGTCATAGTTCCCTCGCTAGCTGAGGGATTCTGGGAGTTGAAGTCCTCAAGTCATAAAAAGATCATAGTTCCCTCACGCTGGCAGAGGGATTCTGGGAGTTGAAGTCCACAAGTCATAAAAGGGCCAAGTTGGAAGACCCCTGTCAGAGGGACCGTTCAGTGACCATTTGAACTTAGAACGGCACTGAAAAAAGGGACTTATTTCCAGTTTTCCCGTGACCGTTGCAGAGTTCCCCACGGCCACGGGATTTACATTCGGATGCTGGGCAACCGACTCGTAGTTATGACGGTCGCAGCATCCCCCCGGGTCACGTAATCCCCTTTCCTGACCTTCTGACAAGTCCGTGGGAAAGCCGGATTCACTTAACGCCCATGTGCCTAACTTCTCTTCCGCGATGTGGCAAGAAAGGTCGTAAAACGGGGCTCAAAAGTCACTGAACAAACGTCTCGCTTGGCAGCGGAAATTCCAGCCTCAGAATTGTGGTCATAAGTCGAGGACCCCCTGTGAAAGGTGTAAGAGGGGTGTAAAATTGTCCAGACTTAACAGACAGGATCCACTGGGCTGTTTGCAGCTCCAGGGCAGCCGGCGTGCTTTTCGCGGCCATTACCTGAGACCTGAACACGGGCGGGCTTTGAGATGGTCTCTGGGAAGGCCGGCAGGCGCACCTGGGCTCCCTTAGAGCCAGGGGAGCCAGCCCTGAGGCCCGATAGGAAAGGGTTCATGCTCGGGCTGTGTGAACTGTTGCTCCGCTTTTAAAATCAACGCCATCACAATCCCTCCCTGTTCAAACCCTTGAACCCCGTGTGTGCTCCCCACGGCAGGCAGGCTGGCCAGCCTCAACGTCTGGATGTTCAGGGCCAGGCCTTGCTTGGGGGGGGGAGTCCCTCCTCCTGATAATGTGGTCCTGCAGATAATTCACTCTTTAGTTGCAACAGCTGGCAAGCTGCTAGGTACAGCATATTCTTGGCTCTGGCCGCCTCCTCCTCTTCCTCTCTTCCTTTTGATCTTCCTTCACTTCCTGCTCTACTACTTTCCTCCTCCTCCTCCTCCTCCCTCTTCTTCCTTCTCTTCCTCTTTCCCTTTATCCTCCTCCTCCTTCCTCTTCTTCTTTCTCTTCCTCTTTATCTTTAACCTCCTTCTTTCTTCCTCCTCCTCCTCTTCCTCTTTCCCTTTATCCTCCTCCTTCCTTCTTCCTCTTCTTCCTTCTCTTCCTCTTTCCCTCCTCCTCCTCCCTTCCTTCTTCCTCTTTCTCTTCATCCTCCACCTCCTTCCTTCTTCCTCCTCTTCCTCCTTCCTGTCCTTCCTCTTCTTCCTCTTTCCCTTTATCCTCCTTCCTTCTTTCTTCCTCCTCTTCCTCTTTCCCTTCTCCTCCTCCTTGCTTCTTCCTCTTTCTCTTCATTCTCCTCCTCCTTCCTCTTCTTCTTTCTCTTCCTCTTTATCTTTAACCTCCTTCTTTCTTCCTCCTCCTTCCTCCTCCTCCTCTTCCTCTTTCCCTTTATCCTCCTCCTTCCTCCTTCCTTCTTCCTCTTCTTCCTTCTCTTCCTCTTTCCCTCCACCTCCTTCCTTCTTCCTCCTCTTCCTCCTTCCTGTCCTTCCTCTTCTTCCTCTTTCCCTTTATCCTCCTTCCTCCTTTCTTCCTCTTCTTCCTCTTCCTCTTTCTCTTCATCCTCTACCTTCTTCCTCCTTCCTGTCCTTCCTCTTCTTCCTCTTTCCCTTTATCCTCCTCCTCCTTCCTTCCTCCTCCTCTAACTCCTCTTCCCTCTTCCTCTCCTTCCCCTTTATCCTCCTCCTCCTCCATCATCATCATCATCATCAATCCTGTTGGGGGGCTGCTCCAGAGGCTCGCCGTCCCCCCCCTCCTGTTTCAGCCGAGGCTCACGTGATGACGCCTCCCCCCCTGACCTGTAGAGGGCAGTCTTGCCCCTTCTGTTTCCCCCGGCCCACCTTTTCCTGGTAATTGATTGCCTAATTTGCTCGTTATGTGAAAGGAAGCAGATACGGAGTAATTTGCAGCAATAACCTGCTATTGCCGGGCCAGTATCAAAACTCCCATGTTCATTTCAAGTGGCAGATAAAACACTAATATATAATTATCCTTGCAAATTGGATTGTTTTAAATAACCAAAAGACTGTGGCCAGGAGAGCCGCTCTGCCCATTTCCCTTGAGTTAGTAGAGTGGCGTAATTGCTGCGTTCAATCAATTTCCCTGGCATTAGAAATTCCATCACCATCAACATTAAGCTATATTCATTGTGATGGCTAAGAGCCGGGGCCCATTTCTCCTCTTTTCCTTAACTGGCAAAATTAATCAGGGAAAAGATTTTAAAACATTTACCCGTGCGAAAGAGGTCAGCGCCGCCAC